GTGGCTTCTTCAGTGATTTTAATTCTTACCATCAGGAATCTAAAAAAGCTCATTTATTTTTCACTCCAGTTTCAAGCGGGTTTTTTCATGAGGCACTTTCAGGAGAGGAAGAAGATATTGGTTTTCATTTTGGCTACAAGGAGGTTCACCCATGCCGATTTCAGACCACAGCCCTGAGCAACCCAGTAATCGTTCACACCCCTCAGGTTTTCCTTGAAAACCTCATTATCATGTTCCCGTTTTAAGCATCTTCCACAATTATTTTTACTGATCATTCTATTTTTATTAATGGAACTGGGAAAATAGTTTATTTAAAGCAATGATTTTCTCGAAGTAGTTTCCACTTGTGAGAAAGTGGGGAACTTGTCATTGGCCATATTCAAGTGCTACGTAAATCAATGCAATGCTGATAAAAGACAAAGTATTAGGTTTTAGACATTGGATAGTCCCGTTTTGGGATACGCCCCGCATTTGACTTCCATTGAGAATCGCAGTGGCGTGTTGAATGCGTATGTGCCCTATACAATGACTTGCGGTGGCCAGCCCCTGTACAAGTCAGTGCTTTTATCCTCCCAGACGAGTCTGGTACCAACTAACCGACTCCAGAAGATGGAAAACTTGGTTGACTCAAGCAGATATCGATTTAGGATTCACCCTCAGACCGGGCGTATCCGATGGTAAACCACCTTGGTCCTAAGCGCTATGGGTACTGAACTAGTTTTGAAATTGTTTTTTGTTTGACTGAAACTAGCATTTACATCGAAACGAACAAACAAAATTGGGCTCAAGTTTCATTTCTTCGCGTTGTGCTGTTCATTTCCCTAATTCAATTCCGACAATGACGAGAGGCAAGGCATCTCGACGATGTCATGCCCTTTGCTGTCATCCTTGCCATTTCAAAATTTGTTCACTTGAATTACTTTTTTTATAAATTAACGTTAAGCTCTCTTTCCTCTCAAAATTCCTTGAATTCTTGAAACTTTTAATCTCCTTTTTCCGGTCAGTTTTCGTGTTCTACATTCAGTGTTTTGTCATTGAATTCTTGAAACTTTTAATCTCCTTTTTCCGGTCAGTTTTCGTGTTCCGCATTAAGTGTTTTGTGATAATTCTCCATGGTTACATATCCAAGAACTTTTTTTGGAAAGTTATCCGAATATATGAAATGGCTCAGCGAACCATGGTAATAAATGTATAGGTTCCAAGCAAGATCATTTTGTAGGCCTTATCCATAGTGCTTTACCATATTCAAAGGTAATTTGGATTTTTTTTACAATATAAAATTAATCTTATACAGTAAAGAAGAAGAAGAAAATAAAAACAAATCTAATTAGTTTACTCTAAAAATATACATAATCGTTTGTCACTACTTGTAGGCCCATTTATTTTTAACCATGCCTTCACCCCTTCTGAATTACCACCCAAATTCGAGCAGAAATTGTTCGTCCATATAGGTAATTGCTTACTATTATATTTGCTGAATAAGCAGTTGGCCTTATTTATTCATCTACCTAATTATTTACATTCTTAACTAGACCATTACATTTAAAGACCTATCATACAGCAAAAAATAAATCAATAGAATCGATCGAGTCCGAAGTTTGACGGGGCCTATGCAGTTTTTTACCTGAACGAACTAAACCAGAACTTCTATTCCACCACCCCCCCCCCCCCT